CTCCGAACGCCGCGCGCCGCTTGGCCAAGACACTCCTCACCGAGCAGCGAGGTACGGACTCCACTTGGCGGCCGCGACGTCTTCTGCCGCGAGGTCGCGGGCGGAGGAGGCACCCAGAGGCGGCGGAGCGTGCCCGCGATCTCTGCGTTGAGCTCGGCGACGAGCCTCTCCTAGGACAAGGCATTGGTCGCCGTGAGCAGGGCCCGCACCCCAGAAGCGATGCCGCGGCGAGGATCCCGCTCCGCAAAGGCGCCGCCGAGAGAGGCGCGGAGGGGTGTGGACCAGCCCGCAGGCCTCCCGCGCTGTCCCGGGGCGGACACGTCGAGCGAGTCGAGCGTGAGCGCCGCGCCGAGCGAGGTGAGGGAAGCGTACAGCAGCTGCTGCGCCAGGCAGCTGCTGCCCCGGCCCGACAGCGCCTGCGACAGCTGCACCCGCGAGAGGCCCGTGCCGTTTGCGAGCAGCCGCGCGGCGCCGTCGGCCGTCAGGTTGTAGAGCGACGCGCGGAGCGAGACGCGCAGCCGCCCGCCCTCCCCCTCCCCCTCCCCCTCCCCCGCCCCCTCCCCCTCCGCCCCCTCCCCCGCCCCCTCCCCCTCCGCCCCCGCCCCCTCCGCCCCAGACCTCGCCCCAGACCTCGCCCCGGCCGCCAAGGCGAGCCACGGCCACCCCTCCTCCGTGGAGAGCGGCCAGCCACGCAGCGAGCTCTCCTCGCCCGCAACCAGACGAAACTCGACGTCGGCGGCGAGGGAGAGGCGGCCGAGGGCGGCGGCCGACTCGAGGCCGGTCGGCTCCGCAGCGAGCGGCTTGAGCAGCTCGAGGCGGCGGACGGTCTCGAGCCCTCCCACACTCAGCCTGTGCACGTGCACGCCCAAGAGCAGCGGGCGCGGCGCCGGGCCGTGGCCGAGCAGCGGTCCGAGGGGGAGGGAGACGGGCGGCAGCGAGAAGTTTGCAATGCCACTGTGGTGCGTGAGCACGCCGACCAGCCAGGGCGCCGCCGCAGGCAGCGCCGCGAGCACGTCGTTCAGCCCGACCAGCGGCTCCACTCGCCTCCAGTCGACGCTGTCGCGGTCGGGCGGAGGCGGCGGAGGCAGCGGCGGAGGCAGCGGAGGCAGCGGCTTGCACGCGCCGCCCTCCGGCGCCACCCCGCCCGCCGCCTCCGCCGCCTCCGCCGCCTCTGCAGCCTCCGCCGCCTGCGCGAGCAGCCGGCGCAGCAACTCGTCGAGCGCCTCTCGCACCGGGCCGGCGGCGACGTTGTCGGCGAGCCGCGGCAGCAGCGTGTCGTAGGTGGCGAGGAAGAAGGCGGCGGCGGCGTTGAGCGCGTCGTCCAGCTCGGTCTCAAGCTCGCCTTGGGCTACCGGCTTGACGCGCAGCTGGAGGACGGACGTGTTGAGCCGGAGAGCGCGCCTAGAGGAGCAGGATCGGCCCGCTCAGGGCCAAGGTACCGGCGGGGCGGATGGGGGACAGAAGGGCGCGCAGAGAGGCATTGACGCCGGCGCGGCGCAGCAGGCATGGCAGGTCGAGCAGCCTGTGGGACCGGGTCCGAGCGGTGAAAGGGAAAGGGCGTGGAGCCTGGGCGGGCGCAGGTCGGGAAGCAGGCGGGGGCAGGCGGGAAGCAGGCGGGGGCAGGTCGGGGGCAGGTCGGGCGCCGGCGCGGGTCGGAGGTTTGGAGGGCGGAGGCGTTGACGGCGAGGAGGAGGGCGGCGGAGGCATGCGTGGCGTCGAGGAGGGAGTGGAGCTCGAGCCTCTCGAGGAGGGGGAAGGAGGAGATTGAGCCCATGCCTTGCGGTACAGGGGAGGGACGGAAAGCCGGGCCGGGGTTTCCGGGAAAGGGTGGGGGGAAGGGCTGAAGGGAAGGGAGACGGAAAAAGCC